CATTTCTCAACCCAAAGGGGTATGGGGACGGGCCGTCTCCATATTCTCGCCACGGGTCGGCTCTTCGAGGGAGTGACGGAGCGGGGCTAGACGAGATGAGCATCGCCGTAAGCCACCGGCGATTTTCCTTCGCCCGAGGCTCAGTCGACAGGTCCCGACCCAGGGACCCGTACCAACAACAATTGGTCGTGGACATCGGCGGGAGAGGCGTGTCGCCTGGGCTCGCGTGGCGTCGGGGTGGCCCTTGCTCGCGCGTCGTGCTCGGCGAAGCGTGGCGAGAGCGGCCGCCGGGCGCCGCTGCTTTGCTGGCTGCCGGGCGCGACTTCGTCGTCGGACGGTGGGGGTTCGAGGAGTGAGGAGCACCATGTCGTACTCATGCCCTAGAGACATGAACTCTAGGCTCCCCAACCAAACTATGGTGCCGAGACGCAATGGTCGTATGTAGTCTGCCATCCGGAACTTGCTAGGATGACGAAGCTGACACGCAGCGTCCCCTACCGGCGCGCCTAACTGCCGGTGTTTTGGAACCGGGGTCCCTCAACCAACGAGTGAATTTGTGCTTTGCGTGCCCCTAATCCCGGATGGTGGCGCAAAGAGACACAAGGTTTATCTTGGTTCAGCAATCGAGGCCCTACGTCCGGTCAAGAGATCGATCTTGTATTCCTTGCACCGGAGTGCTCGTAGTAGGGGGTTACAAGCTAGGTGAGAGAGGGAACTAGCCCCAGGTCTCGGCGAGTGTGGTGCGGGCTGCTTGAGGCGTTGTTCCCAAGCAGCGTAGGAGTGCGTGGTTCTATCGGCGTGTTCGTCTGTCTGGTCTCCCCCCCGAAATGGCCCCCAGTCCCTCCCTTTTATACTCTAAGGGAGGACCGGGACCGTGCACAGGGTGCTACATAGCGCTTCTGTAAATGGGGTGGCGTGTCCGAGCCCTGTAGTCGGCCACTGTTGTGGTATGGTCGATGGAGTGGCCCCGTCCTTGTCATGCGGAAGTGACATGCTGGTCATACTCGGTCTTGTGCGTCGTGGGGCTCCAGTACGGCTTGATGCAGGACATGGCGGGCGACGTGCTGGTCGCCGTGTAATGACGTCGTAGGGAGCAGCGGCTCTGCAGATGCCGAGGCCGAGCCATCGTGGGGGGCTCGGTGGTCATGGACCCTCAGGCTGCCGAGCCCGTGAAGCAAACTGTCGAGGCCTTGGGGGGAGTTATTGGCCCTGGGTACTGATTCCGAGGCCACAGTAGCCCAGACGTGGCTCCCCACGCTGCATTGTCCTCGGTGCAGGAGTTGGCAGCATAGTGAGGCATGGGCGTCAACCCATGTGCACGGTGGTTAGTACAGTGGCGGGTAACCCCTGCCCAGTCCTGCCTCCTGTCCCATCGGCCATTCTGCATCTTGTCACGGGCATGTGGTCATTGTCGGGGGCAGCAGTTGGGTGAGTTGATGCGACACGACGTTTTGCCGGAGGGACGGGAGAAAGGAGAGGTAGCGGAGTGTCGCCGAGCCCGCCTTTGCGCGAGACGGGGTCGGTGGCCTCGGCCGAGGCCTTTGGCGGGAAATCGACCGAGGCCCGTGGTGAGGGGGCTCGGGCGAATCGGAGAATCGGTGAGGTCCATGGTGATGGGGCCTCGGTAGTCGGAGAATCGGCCGAGGCCAAAGCCAGCTGCTTTAGCTGGTTTCGATCTTCTGAGATCTAAGCGATGCGTTTTTGGATCTTGCTTAGGGTACCCCTTCTCATGGTATCCGACAGGTGCATTGTAGCTGTTTAATCTAGTGGCAACTGACCGTGACGATGAGGAACGCTCTATGCACTGATCTGTGATGGAATGGGAAAAAGAAAAAGGAAGTTAAGTTTAAGTCATAAGGTGAGATCAAGGGGGAGAATGTTAGGTTGATCTCCACCAATTTGGCCCAACGGCCAATTGGGCCCTTGATCCACGCCCTGATCGGGGGCGCCTAGCCATTCTTCTGGCTGATGGGCCTCCGTCGCGCAGCGCAATAAATAAGAGGTGGGGGCTAGGGCTCGAGTCACGAGGTTCACCGCAGCCGCCACTCCCCACCTAACCCTAACCGATCAAGGGAGCGCTGTGAGTGACGGGAAGCGCCATTGCCTTCGCCGTCGCCACTGGACCGTGCCTCCACTGCACGGCGTTCGACTACGACACCGCGCCACCGTCGCCCCTCACTGCATCACCACTGCCATGGCGATTTCTTCCTCCTCTGCCAAGTCAGAAGGTATGGCCCTCTCTCGAGTCTGTCTCCCTCTTCCGAGTCATGTTTCTAGATCGATTTGAATCAAATAGAGATGAATCCACCCACTGATCAACACCTAGATGATCCTAAGAATCCATCAATGGGAAGCTTGACACCTCTGGGGTCTACAGACTAATCAAATCCCAAGGATGCTCCAGTAATCCAGCTTCATATTTCATTTGGAAAAGCTCGGCGCCTCCGAGAGTGAAGTTCTTTGTTTGGTTGCTCCTGCAGGGCAGGATTCAATGCCGCCACAACTTGTGCAAGAAGACCATTGTTGACTCGTCAATTTGTGAAGTGTGCAACTCTGAAGATGAAACCTCCGAGCACATCATCCTCCGATGTGGCTTCGCAGTGGCCTTCTGGGAAGCGATTGGGCTCTCATGGCCCTCTGATCAATCAATTGGCGAACTATACCGGGCCACTAGACCGAACAACATACCTGAAGATCAGTTTGGAACCTTCATTGCCTTGTGTTGCTGGCAGCTCTGGAAGCGAAGAAATGGAATTGTGTTCAGGAATGAAGCTCTAAACCTGCAACAAGTCTTAGCAGCTTGTAAAGTTGAGGCTCAACTTTGGCGCCTAAGAATGCCGGTACCTTCGAGAGCCGTAGCTGATCTCTGGTGTCATGTGTTTAACAATGTGATGTAGAGCTGCAACATCATCAAACCCCCCCGCCACAACGTTTTTTGTGGCAGAACAAATGTAACCTGCACCTCCAAATTTTGAAATAAAATTCAGGTGGGGAACAATCAACCCCCCCCCCCTACCGGTGACATTTCAAAAAAAAAACTTAGCGCTTGTGCTGGAAGTATAACAGTTCTCAGAGGTGCTTTCTTTGTTAAAAAAAAAATAGTATAAGATGTTGCAGTAGTCTGATATGGCCACACTTGGGGTCTGTGTGCCTAAACCCTATGTTAACTTGGGGCCTGTGTGCCAAAACCTGTTGAGAGCAGTGCTTGCTCTGCCGGAACCAGAATGTATTCTGAACTACATCTGATGATCCTTATGGTAATGCATTCGGAGTGGGGATTGATCCCCCAACCTCTACAAAAAGTGGAGGTGGGCGTTGTTGGTTATGCCGTTATGGTACTTGAGGAATAGCGAAGCTACATAGAATTGAGTTTAACTGGCCTCAAATGAAAATGAGACTTATTCAGAATTGGCATATTCTCCTTCAGCACAAGTTCAGGTAATTGACATGCCCCAATTGCCAAATTAGTGACCATGATTGATGGGTAACTATTAGGTAACCATGTTAAATCTTGACACTGAATCATTATATTACTGAACCATGTACCTGATTGAGCAGACCGATTTTATACCAACAAAAACCCAGAGGATAGCCAGAATAGATGACACTGGGCCTGAGCTGGTGGTGACCATTCTTCATCCGCACAATCAGATTCTTCTTAACTTTCGAAAAAAAAAAATCAGATTCTTCTTACACAAGTGGCAGTAAACCTTTTTTTCTTAAAAAAAAGGAAACCAGAAGGATCCAGTGCTCAGACATTCAGGAAATAGCAAACCACAAAGGAAGGCATAGAAACCAACCTATTTCCTTCGATTGCTTGAAGCCTTGAACAAACATGTAAAGCCAGTAAAAATATGAAGCATTCAAACCTTGCACCACCATAGGCCGGTACAACACTAAGCTGCAGTGTAAGCTTGAAACTGTCCTTACGATCGTGAACCATAAGCTGAGTCCTGTTACAGGGCAACTCTCCTTTGGCAGAGAGCTGAACAGAACAGAGCTATGGCTTCTCTCATGCTTCCCTGCCAAGAAAGAGAAGCCCTGAAACTGGACAGCTTAGGCATTCCATTTCCTGACCATGGCCTTGTTTAGATTGCAAATTTTTGCAACCTGGATACTGTAGCACGTTTCGTTTGTATTTGACAAACTTTGTCCGATCATGGACTAACTAGGCTCAAAAGATCCATCTCGTGATTTACAACCAAACTGTGTAATTAGTTATTTTTTTTACCTACATTTAATGCTCCATACATGCGTCCAAAAATTAATATGATGGAGAAAGAGCGAAAAAACTTGGAATTTGGAGGTGATCTAAACAAGGCCCATCTAAACAATGAGTTCTTTCCTCTTTCTTATCTTGACCTCATTGTTTTATGCTCACTGTGGGGCTGCGGCATTGCAATATTTATAGTGAAAATATCCTTGACAAGACATGTACTTCATGATCTTTTCAAAGGGTTTTAAACCATGGATATCCTCTTGGCATCCAACATCTACCTTTCCCTTTTGCCCTCATGGTTTTGTCCCTCTGAAGTTCTCACCCCCACTATCGGATTCCCTTTCTCGTTCGAGATCGAGACCCTTTTTGGCAATTGACACTAGCCACAAAACACTAACTGCTGGTGATTTTCATTTTACTAAGAGAAACTGACTGTTCAGTATAATATTTGACTACACAGTAAAATTAGTGATGCTGCCACACTTACTGCTGATGATTTCCATTTTCCTAAGAGAAAACGATTGTCCAGTATAATATTTCACCACACAGTAAAATTAGTGATGCTGCCTCACTAAAGTTCCTGTTCTGATCAAGAATACATAATCTGAAGCTTAGATGCAGATTTCACTCACTTTAGTACATATAGTAACAAACAATATGATACAGTCCCGACAATATGTGCAAGCTATTAGTATCAGAATCACACCAACAATATTGAATCCAGCATTACATACTTCAATTGAGATACTTAATACGCCTACTATCTTGGATTATAGGATCATTACAGTTCTGTTCCCTCTACTCCTTCAGCTTTCAACCTTTCATTTTGGATTCTGACTCCCATATACCTGCCAAGTTAGAGACACAATCATTCATTGGAAGATTGGTAGGATTCGACCTAAAAAAGGCAACCTTGGCGACAGGAATCAGTACCACTAGGGCCTGCCTGGAGAAGTGCTCAAAGTGCGCTGATAAAAATATCACAGGTGTAAGCACACTAGGAATTACCTGCCGAGCATCATGACAGGACTCAGTACCACTAGGGCCTGCCTGGAGAAGTGCTCAAAGTGCGCTGATAAAAATGTCACAGGTGTAAGCACACTAGGGATTACCTGCCGAGCATCATGACGGTGGCCTGCGGGTTGGTTCCTGGTGAGGCGTTGAAAGTGGAGCCGTCGATGACGCGCAGCGCGTCGACGCCGAGCACTCGGTACTCAGCGTCGACGACCCTGCCGACCTGGCAGCCGCCGTGGTAGTGCCAGATGGTCATGACGGTGTCCTTGCAGAACATCTCAAGCGATGTGGAGTCGCTGTCGTGCCGGGGCAGCAGGTTGACCGGGAACCCGGTCGACATGTTGAGCAGCGTCTCCATGGAGAAGTAGGAGTACGTGAAGTTCTCGAAGGCCTTGGAGTGGATGACGCTCTCGATGACCGACAAGCCGGCCACGCAGCGGCGGATGTCCTCGGGGTGCGAGAAGTAGTTGAACGTCACCGACGGGTTGTCGTCGGGGTCGCGGTTGCGCAGCTCGAGGTGGCCCGTGGACAGCGGGCCGAGGACCTTCTCCAGGATGAAGCCACCGCGGAAGGCCGAGTCGTCGAGCTGCCTCATCGACTCCGCTGCGCGCGCGATGGCCTCCGGCGTGCGCTGCTTCGGGGGCACCGTGGCCAGCTGCCCCGTCTGCAAGAACAGCAGTACTGACAAAACTGCAACTGCAACTGCGTAGGGACTTCAGATTCGCAGAGCATCACCGTACGTGGCAAGAACCTCACCTGTGGAGAGAACATGCCGAAGTTGCGCGGCCGGTGGACACCGCCGGAGGCTGAGGGCCGGACGCCCCAGTTGGACCCGCTGGCGCCCTCGATGTAGCTCCCGACCTGGGTGATGCCGACGACCTGTATGAGCGAGATCTCGACCGGGGAAGGCGACGGCACGTAGATGGCGTTCATGGGGTTGTCGGACATCCCCTGGCCGACCGCGGGCTGGTCGTGCACGATTCTGATGCCGAACGAGCTGAGGTGGTCGGCTGAGCCGACGCCGCTGAGCATCAGCAGCTGTGGGCTGCCCATGGCCCCCGCCGATAGGATGATCTCGTTCCGGCGGCCGGCGTTGAGGTACGCCTTGTGCATCCGCCCCTCGGAGTCGTGGAACACCACGCCGCGTGCCACTGGCCGTCTCCCTGGCGCCGAGGTGAAGTAACCGCCAGTCAGTTCGGATGGTACACGTACGTACACTACTGTGGCCAGGTAGATTTGTGGCCAAGCGGTGAAAACATTTTACTCGAGTACGTTCTGACCTCTGACATTAATGAACAAGATCTTGGCCACTCTGGCTCGTAGCAGCACGTCGAGCCCCTCGGCGCGCGCGTACCTCAGCAGGTCCGCGGCCGTGTGCCGCCGTCCGTCGGCGTCGAAAATGGACCCGCCGACCTTGGTCCCGTCGAGGTGGTCGAACGTAAATCCGTTGTCCGGCGCGACCCCGGCCTCGATCAGCCCGCTCTGCAGCGCGGCCTGCCAGGGGCCCAGCTCCGGCTGGAACGCCACCACGTCCTCCACCCACCGGTACGCCGCCCCGGTGGCCTCCAGGTCCCACCCGGCGTCCCGCACGTAGTCGTCGCTGGCCCGCGTGTAGAAGCCGGCGTTGATGCAGCTGCCGCCGCCCAGCACCCGCGGGCGCGAGTTGATGACGCCGTCCTCCGACACGAACCGCTGCGCGGGCGAGCCCGGGGAGGTGTCGGACAGCGTGTCCGCGAAGCGGGCCATGTCCCCGATGCGCTCGTCGTCGTAGGGCGAGCCGCCGCGCTCCAGCAGGAGCACGCGGAAGCGCTCCGACAGAGTGGCCGCCAGCGGACACCCGGCCGTGCCGCCGCCCACAATGATGTAGTCGTAGTACGACACGCTGGGCGCCAGCGCCGCGTCCTTCATGAACGTGTAGTTCACGCCACGTACTATGTTTGATTTGTTCACGCATGCAAATGCAATGCATGCATCATATATACGGTGAGTGAGCGATTAGCTATTTGATATGAAACGGGGAAGGAACTAACGGAGAAGAAACTATCACCGTACCTTGTAGCGAACTGCATAGGAGTACAAAGAAGAAGCTCGTAGCGAGAACGGTGGACAGTGTTCGTGTGAAATGCAGATCGTCGGCAGCCATTGTGGGCGCAAGCTCCAAGCTGTGATCAGGCAACTTTGTGTGGACAACTGAGACGTGTTGCGTGTCTTTATATATCGAGAAGAGGAGAGAGTACTAGATGCATGGCTGACAGGCTGAGCCCTGAGTTAGTGGGTTACAAGGTTGTTGGTTGTAGCTCTGCTGATCAGATTTGCAGTAATGGATGTTAAACTTCTAAGCTAAAAAGTTGGTGCGGACATTGGACGATTGATCTCTTCCGTCAACAACTTAATCTTGTAACTCACCTAACATATTACCTGCACACACCAAGGTTGTCCCTGAGAGCCTTTCGCATTTGTTAAACATGGGAGCAAATACACTACGTACGCTCCTCTTCGTATTCAAACTAGGTTAAAAGATCGCCGGCAGTGGCCACCAGTGCAGCAACAGACGAGGTCAAACGTCCACCGGTGTGCGTGGTCATACCGCACGTTACAGCGTCATCATTTTCTTTCTGCAGCAGGCCCAGGTCCTGGTCCATCGCCGAAGTCGTGTTCAGCTAGCTCCACGAGAGTAAACCGCCTCGCTCCCATGTTTGACCACGCCCAAGATGGCCACCGCGGCCATGCACGCGCACGCCATGAGCGTGAGGAAAGAAAAAGGGTAGGTCCAACTCCAAGGACCGAACCGCCGAAACAGCTGGTGACTTCACCTCGGCTCGGATCGCACGTACAGCCACTGTGGAGCCCGACCGTTGCTGTTGCTGTGCCGGAGCGGAAGCTTTGCTTCACACAAAATCTACCGCCATTTTATTTCTGGTTCTGTTGCCATCTACTGCAGTCGAGTCCCGCGCCCTGTTCGTTTGGACTTGTTTGGCTTATAAGTCATACTTTTTAAGCCAACAAACAGTATTTTTCTCTCACCCCACCAAATCAGCCAATAGTACTTTCAGTCATGGCTTATCAGCCAAACAAGCCCAAGCAAACAGGGCGTTGGGCGGGCCAGGGCCAGCAGCGAGGCCCATCATCTTTGAAGCATGCAGATCTCGCGTGCTCTGAATGGTTCGATCCTGTGGAATTCAGTTAACGCGCCTGCGCCCCTGCATATCCGGCTCTCGGGTGTTAATGAGTCTTGCGCAAGGACCATTGGGACTGGGAGTTTGTCCATGTATCCACTTCAATTCGTGTGTGGGAGAGTGGCTTGTTGTTGTGTTCGGGCTTTGCCCAAAACTGTATATAAAACTCCATCCTCTTCATTGATTCGCAAAGCCCCCTACCATTTGCTTAAAAAAACATTAACTGTGTCATAAAAAAATTTGGTCATAGGTTGTCTTTAGCATCTCACGTCCAAAAAAGGTCTATTCAGTAATATGTCACTGACGTGCTTGTTGGAAGATGGCCTTGTGTTGACATAAAAATGTAACGATGTGATCATAGTAAGTCGGAGATCAGAGATCTGCTTGGCTTCAACACAGAACCAGTCAATTCTGAAAATCCAACGACGTGCCAGTCAATTTGACCTGCAATTGATAAGGAGAAAAAATCTTATCAGTAATTTAAGGTGGAACATGTCGTTGTTGCACCAAACAGTTCCAAATGTACGGCTAGATAGCCGATTCAATGAAGCTATCGACTAAATAGTCGATATCCAGCGTATTCATAAAATGAAGATATTTAAATCAAGGATTATCGGCTAATATTAGACGATAATGATACAAATCAAAATAACCGATGCTCATGGAACCTCAGAAAGTATCATCGGCTAAATAGAACATGATCGATATAAAGCGTCGAGCCGATAAGTATGATGAAAAGAGTATAACATGCGAACAAATCGACTGTCTAATATAAATGAATCTACAAACAGTTTTGAGTCTAATTTATTATCATCAACAGTGAGGTTCGATCGGATCGATGCAGTTATGATAATAATAATAAACTAAAGCCAAATAATCTATAAAACCATCTATACGTTGATAGATTCATGAAAACATACTATATGCGTGAAAGTATAGGCAAATCGGCTAAAATAGCCGATGTGGTCATAGCAAACAAAAAGAATACATATCTTGATCATGAACAAGACCACTAATCGATAATTTCTAATCTAAAGTCTTACCAGTGAGGTTCGACCGGATCGATGCAGCTATAGTAATGTCATTAGATTAGATCTTATTAACTAGTGAGTTTATTTAAGATTGAAACATGTCTTTGAATGCATACTATGTTTGACTGGAATAGAGATAAAACAACCGATCTAACGGAATTAAGCCATCGATTATAAGATTTGAAGCATGACCAGATCAAAGGACGACCAATTAAGATGATATGATGCCGATCTATCTCTATCTCTATCTCAATCGGGTGATTTTGTTATAATTAATAAAACATTAATTATAGCAAAATCGATAACCGGTGAATCAACCAAAAACAACAAGGAAAGTCTTACTAATCTTAGCAGATTCGATAACTGGTGATATTGTATTAAACAACAAGTTATTTAATACAAGATTGATAACTTTGATCTATATTATGATTCGTAAGAGATCAATCAGCTAATGCAGCCTTACAAACTACGATACAGATCGATAACTAACTTATATTATAGCTCATAAAGGATCAATCAGCTGATGCAGCTTTACAAGCACAACACAAGTTGTGACGGTACTCACAAGCAAGCTGGAGGTCGATTAATCGATGCAGCCCTATTTGCTGAAGAACTCGTCGAGATCTACATACTCCTACTCCTAATGCGATGGTGAAAGCCGAAAAGATTGTATTTATTGAGTGTTCGTCCTTTTTACGGTCTAATATTTATACCCGGAACCTAAACAAGAATCCTATTCAAATACGACTCATTACAATTCTTGAAATAAAAGAAAACTTCCTAATTTAATAATAACCTGTACCCTAATTTTCCTTATTTGTAGAGTCCGACACATCTTTCTAGTGCCACTCAAGTATAGCCTATTAACACCGTTTGCTGACGTCATCCATAAAATAGCCGATTCTGACATCATATTTAAATCAGCTGATACCGATTCACATCAAATCGATTCTTTGATGACACAATCCTGAAAGCTTCGAGTTCTCACGTTCTTCTTCTCAAATTTTAGTGTAAACACCTTGATTAGACAAATTCAAATAACATAATGCTAAAAGACAAACATAAATGGACTATAACACATAAGCCAGCAATGGGGGCTCATAGTTCATAATTCTTTACAAGATGAATCTTTACATAAATGCACTAAATACAAGAAATTTTGCATACAAACTTAATCCAAATGTTTACAAACCATGCTTGAACAGATGTGCAAACCCATTGTGGGCAGGAACCGTTTTAGCTTAGGAACATTGCTGTACACTTGTACAGCTACAAGAGCTTCAATAGAGATTGTTGTAAGTGTAGAGTGTTGCTGCGATGGAGACTATGCAGATCACAAGAGATGGGAGAAGGGTGACATTGAGAAGGAGGTCCGTGCCAAGATAACCAGCTGCAGTAATCGTGGCATCTGCAACTACACGGGCCAGCGTCCCAGCCTCTGTCGAAAGGAGTCCACCGTTGTAGGTCCCTCGGGAAAGCCTCGATGACATTACTCGTGAGAGCAAGGACAGATTCACTCCTGCATGACTCGACATTAGAATTTGCGTGACTGATAAATCAGCAGCGTATGATTGATTTAGGTTTTGCTGTCTCGTACTCCGAATGTATATAAACATACATACCTTCAAGCACCTCAGCAAATACAAATGTGATGAGAGCTGAAATGACATATTGCGGAATGGAGTAGCGAGGTGTGAATCGAAAGCTCATGATTATACCGATGAGAACCATGACTTCAGATGCCAACAAAATTTGCCTGCAAATGAGAAGGGCCACATTAGCAATATATCTGCAATATATCTAAAATTTGCCTGCAAATCGAAAGTTCATTATGCTTTAGAGTACGTTTTAATTTCTAAAACAATTGGCAATATATCTGCAGAGCATTTCTCAGTTTAAGAGAAAAACAATGTCTAGAGAAGATAAAAGTTTCCTATGATTTGTAAGAGTACAAAGCTTACCTATCCTCAAACAAATTTGTAATGTAGCTTCCAACAATGGCATTTACTGGAAGAACCGTTAATCCAAGAATCGCTAGGAAGATAGCCACAACACTAGTAGACCAGCTAAAATAGTATGTGGTGACAACGCTCGATTCCGAGAGTAGTATTTCCATTGCGTACTTGAGCATGAAGTATATCAATAGCTGGGCCTGATAAACAACCAGTTTATAAAGATATGAATACATAAGAAGGTAGCTCCAACAAAGATCCAAAGATGACAAGGGTACCTGAGCATGTACTGGTCCAAAGAAAAGGGTACATGTGCATGCAACTTTTTATCTGGCTCAGTTTATTTGACATGGTTTAAGGAAGCTGAGCTGGCTCACTTGGTCAAGGGTGTGGATGTAAGCCCAGACCACCTAGGTTCAAGTCCTTGTCAAGGCGAATTGGGGTGCCTATTTTCTTTTAAATAAAATGCGCCCTAGTTCCTCCTAGGTTGGTCTAGTTTTTCTACATGGTGTGTCAACAGTAATACAGTTATGTTTGCTTGTATGACATGCAGACATACCTACTAGTAACTGGAATGTATTTATCCATTACTATTTAAAGATACAATTTTATATTTTTATTACATTATATATAGTTAATTTATCTAACTTTATTTATAAAAGAATCCTACGTAGACTGTGAGAGTCTTTCTTTCAAATGTTTGAACCAAGAACAAGATAGAAAAATCGATAATTGGGAAGCGAGGGGGAAGGAAACCTTCACAGATGGAGTTAGCAATCTGTATGCTGAAGCAATTGATGTTGCTGGTTCATGAGAGCTTTCTGAGGCTACTTCAGTATCATCATTATCTTCTGAGTTCTCCCCCTGCCTTTGTTCTATACCTAGAAGCAATGGTTGAGCTAGACCTTCCTCCAAGTTAGAATTTCCTTGGCGACCTATTTTCATAAGGAAATAAACATCTCAGAAAAGTTCCTGACAATGGTA